CGGGGAGCAGGCGGCCGGGGCAGCCCTGGGGGCGTCCCCTCCCTGCGGAGGGGGCTAACCCCCGAGCATCCTCCTTGCCCAGAGGCGAGCGCGGAGCAAAGGGGCTGACTCCCTTCGCGAGTTACGAGCCCTGGGGTTTTCCGGTGTGCCGCCTGGGGAAACTGGCCCTGCCAGCCCCGATTTCACGTCCCTCCCAGGGCCGGGGACGCTGCCGGGGTCCCAGCCAAAACAAGGGAAGCGGTTTCTCGTTTCTACAGCCGGTACCGGTGCTCGCGTCCCCTGGAAAGGTGGTGAAGTGCCGCTCGTTCGGTTGCCGCAGCGCAACTCCACCCGCGGGAGGTCTTGCCGTTCTCTTCATCATCCTGACAGCAGGCTTATTTAAAAATAATAGCTTTCAAGAATTGGAAACGGTGTCTGATAAGATCCAGCGTGTTACTTAAAATTTAGCGTGCAGTCTCTGCAGTTGTTGTGATGAAGGTTTCCAAAGTACGTTCAAAAATACTTTCTCTTCTGTCAGCACTAAATTTCAGTCCTTAGAAAGCAAGGATGGATTCACGGCACAAATTTTGTGTGTGTGTGTGTTTTCTAATCTTTCAGTTTTGACTGAAACACGTCAGTTGGGACAGAATTTCTTCCCTGCCGTGTCACACAGTCCAACATGCAGTAAATGCTGTTTTGGGAGGAGTATTCTCCATGCTGGTTTTCTGCTCTTTAAAGGGAGAACTTGTAGTTATGCATATTCTGGTTTTAGTTTTGTTTTGTTTTCAGCATCCAGAATAGTGCTGTCACCAGAGACATGTGCATTCCTCTTACAGAGGCATGATACCCCAAAAGTAGTGTCCCTGGACCTGTGATGAGGATCTACAATACTTACTTTCAAAGGATAGAGGTTTTTTGGGGTATGCTTTCTTTATGAATTTGTCAGTCAGAAGTGTGTTCTGCTTGAAGCATGCTTTTGTCCCAAGTACATGGGAACCATCAAGTTAGTAAGATGCAAGAAAAGAAATGTTTGAAGTGGAAAGCCCCCAAAAAAGTGAGAAATTGCCTGCACTGATAAAAAGACCTTTGTATCAATAGCCAAATCTTGTGCATTCTTGTATGTTACTACATTATCTGAGCAGGTCAGTTGACTAAAATGAGGTAGATGGCTGTTCCTCTTAGAAAATTAGAAATACTCTTTGTTCTTTCTTGGTTATGATATACTCTAATTACTGTGCTGTTCTTTCAGTTGAATCCTCCTATTAAAAAAGGAAAATCACACAATATTCCAAGAACAGAGAGGAGCATGTGTATTTGTGTAGTAGTTATTTTCTGTGGAATTAGTGGTGAATTTGTTAATAATCTCAAGGTCTTGATGTTTGACTACAAAGTTCACGAGCCGGTACGTTCACACATGCTTGTCAACTAGGAGCAAAATCTTCAGCCTGCTATTGTTGGAATATCTAATGCCCTGTGTTACTCCTAGAATCAGAATCCAGGCTAGAATAAGTAGTCTAATGTTACAGGTTAGAAGATAGAGAAGTTTGTTTTGTGTGGGTCTTCCATAGTCTTCCTCGGATGTCTGTAGAGGACATGGTTGGTTAGGTGTCTGGAATTCTTGCTTGGGCACTGCTACTAACTGAGCCTGTCAGTTGCTGCGAAATATTTTACAGGGAAAGATTGCCAAATATGACTTTGCTTCCGAAGTAGTTTCCTGGTTGAATCTTCCTGTACTTTTTGTACTTGTGATGTTAGTACATCTCATAAATACTAAGCAGGCTTTTCACATGGTTGTTTCACTTTTTCTTTTTTCTTTTTTTTTTTTAAGGGAAAGACAAAATGAACCCTTTCTTTTTTCTGGGTTTTGGACATTCTCATCTAGTCTACTTCTGGAATAGAAGTGTACCTTTCAACTCAACAAATGAGACGTACTGCTACAGCACTGCCCGGGGCAGCACGGTGCTCCAAGGAGTAACTTTTGGTGGAATCCCAACTGTCCTGCTGCTTGATGTAACCTTCTTTTTTGTAAGCCCAGTTTCTATTTCTTGTATTGAAAATCTTGTGGCCTTCTCAGAAGTTAGATTGTTCAGAATGCTCTTATTTATCGGGTAGGGATTTGTGTCTGAGAATCTTCAGAATAAGAAATGTGCTAAGGCCATCCTGGGAACATCAAAACACTTTTCAAGTATTGATAAAGGTTCACATACAGTGACACTGTCGTCCCAGATGTATGTCGGATGTGTAGATGTAGACAGAGTGTGATATCATAGGGTCTGTATGTGGAGTCATGGTGGGCTTTGTAGTGGTAGCTCAAATTTCTATGTTTTGTCTTAACCACAAGAACATTTTTTCCTTACTCTGGGTTTAAGTACTGGGTACCTTTTCAGGAAGGGAACACCATTGCTAACTTGATTGTTTTTCAAAAGGAAATACAACACAGAAAATCTGTCACTTCACAGATTTTTTTTAATTGGATTTCATGAAGCTGTCGAGGAAATAATGTCCTGATCAGCTCAGTCCGGACCAAAGGAGGAATAGGATTAGTTGCTGGTCTGGAGGCTCCAAAATTGGAGCTGATCTGAAGGCCTGAGACTCCAATAAAACTTATGGTTATTTCTGTAAGTTTGGTCTAGGTGGTCTTAAGCCACCAGAAAGAGCTGTAGATCTGAAATTGGCCTGATAAGTGAGGTTTCTGATAGTAAAATGAGACTAAAGGGTTCACATAGTTCCCGAGTTCTAGAAAGCCACTATGGAGAAACTTAAAACTACCTGTGTAAGGTCCGAGCTGGTAGTTCTGTAGGAATGTAGAGGATGTTCCTAAAAGTTATCTTGTGGCATTCTTTGCTATTGATTTGGTGTATGCAGCATGCTACCATAAATCCATTTTCTGAAGATGTATGGTATTTACTGCTCTGTGCAACTGATGGCACAGCATTTAATAAGATTTAGTTGGAGTGTTTGGGGGGACTTTTTTTTTTTAAAGCTGTGGTTGAATTTTAAGATACTGAGTCTCTGCTTTTGAGTTCCTTGCTGTTGAACCCTCCTCTCAAACAGCGTTAGGTAGAGAGTTAGATGCAATGTAGAGGGCTCCTCTCTTCCTCAAGTACCAAGTACTGCAATTTATTTTTCAACTCCTGTATTCCTATGTTCATGACGTGTTTACTGCAGATCCCTTTAGTAACTGTCAGTTGATGGTTTCTGAATATTATTTCTAGGCTGGTTTCCTAAGAAAGTGACATTTATATATTGCATTGTCTTCCCATTTTTGTCTGGCAGTTCCTCCTAATAACTGTAGAATACGTTAGCCAATTTCAGCCAAAGTTGTAAAAGAGTCTAGAGAACTTTCCTGCCTGCATGAAGTTTAATGGCCAGATGAAGGAGGAAGATCTAAATTAATATTCCCTGTTGGGAGGAAGGCTCTTATAAGAAGGTTTTATTCATTGTGAAATGCGGAAATCAGCTGTGTAATCTTGACACCTCGATAATCTTGACACGTATCCTGGCTGGCCAGTTGGTATTTGCATAGAGCCAAATAAGTAACATCACTAGCACCACTTTCTAGCCAAACAGGTATGGGGTGTAGGAGGGGCTAGGAGATAAGGGCATATGCTACATAGGCATAGAAAACAGGCCTTGTTACTTGTGCTTCATTGCTTCGTACAGAGCAACTTGTTTCTTTAAAAAAAAGAAAAAAGAAATGCATCTATGAAATACGTAGTGGGTTTTTTTTCTTGTTTTCTTAGCCTCTTTCAAAAAGTGAAAATACAGGGGGGAGATAAAAAATACATTGCAGAGATCAAATATAAGTTTCTGGATTTTATGAGTTATAATAATATATTACTTTTACTGAGGATAAAAATAATTCTCATACTTGGGAAAACAGTTGAGCCCCCTACAGCCAGTTTACATCACTGTTTAAAAATAAAATGAAATAAAATTGCAAGTCTTCCATCATAGTTCTGGTCATCAAGTAATGAATAATAGTAAAGGTGTATTATGAAAGTTTTGACTTCCTCTGAAGTACTACTTGCTACTTTTCCTGTCACAAACCTTCATACACTTGCAGTTCAGAAGTATTTTTGCATGCGGTTCTCCTCCTTTATAAATTAGAACAGGAAGGCAGGTGTTCTGGTCCTTTGGCCCCAGACAGGTTGGTTTGTAGCATGGCCACCATTGGATTAGTTAACTTACGGCAGTTGGTTTAGGAGCTAGGACAGCTTTTTTTGACAGTTCCTATACACCTAAGAATAATCATTATGAAGTGGGAAAATAAATATTCAAAGATCTTTGTTTTTATTTTCTAGATTTTAATATTACTGTTTTCCATTATAAGAAAGAGATTCTGGGACTACGGTCGTGTTGCTCTGGTGTCAGAAGCTGAAAGGTAAAAAAAGATATCCAATCAGACTGATTTGTTGAAACCATTTGGAGAACGTGAAAGTAGGTGCAGTAAACAGGGCTTAAATTAAGTGCATTTGTATCAATTAGATATGTTTGTAATCACACGCACGTATTTGTTAGAAATGTCCTCGTGCTGCTCTGTGTGAAATACGTCCCACTAACAGAGTTACTCTTTGCAGTTTCAGTGATAAAGTTGTGTGTTTGGCAATGTCGTGAATTTCATTCTACAGTTGTGGGTTAAGGAAGTGGGGGTAAGAAAATAGCCTGCTTGGCCCCTAACATGGCACATACCTACACCTCCATGTTTACAGTGTGTTTCTGTGACAGAAGGATATTAACTATGTTGTTTATCTTGGCTCAAGCCCAGTATCTTCCCAGAGCTCCCTATGCAGCCTGTGCCATAATATTTCTGAAGGTTTAAAAATAAAAAAGAAATGTATCGTTGCAGGTTTCTGAAATTCTTCACTGATGTTTAATAATACTGCAAATGAGCTTTTAATTTTTTTTCATTTTTTTTTAAATATTGCTTCTGCAGGATGGTGTCTTGGGATGTTTAAAAGCTAGCTGTCTATTTATGAAGTGGGTAAACTTTAACAGCGAGCCTCTTCCTGGTATCAGTGGTGTAACTAAGTTGTTGTAAATTCACAACTAAGCAACAGGAAGGGACTCAAAATGTGGTTTTAGGTGTAATCCATGTACAATTGTGAAAAGTAGATGGCAAAAAAAAACCCAGATGGGCAATAACTGAGACAGCTAGCTCAGGCAGCAAGAACGAAGATGCTCTGGTATAGGCTTCCATGTGGTCTGTAGAGGCCTGCATGGGACAAACAAGTCCTTGAGCAGTCAGACACCTAGGAGCCTATGTTATTGTCCCTGCTGGACTGTGACCTGAGTCAGCTAGGTCAAAATTATCATAGATACACCTATGAATACACTCCATTTTAACATGTATTGTCCTGTAATTACGGGCACATCACCATTGCAACATCTCTTTTTAGCAACAAGCTAAAAACAGGTACTTTGCTATATTTGAGGGCTACAGAGTCTCTAAATGTTTCTAGTCTTGCTACAGCACTGAATTTGTGTGAGGAGGTGGCCCTGCAGGTAAGGGATTTAATTGTGCAGAGAAATTCTGAGTAGTGGCTGTCAGATGAAG